GCCCTGAGGGGAACGGGGCCTCGGCCCGGCCCTCCCGAGGGGAGCGAGCCCCGGCCGCGCAGTGCTTGGCCTTAGGCAGAGGAAGGCGGCGGGTGTCCCCTGTCACCGGCCCCCGCGGGGTGATACCGATGTTAAAGTTACTAATGGCGAGGAGAGCCGCTCCCAGTGCTCTTTGGAGCAGAGCAGTGCTATGCGGTGGGTCCCCGGGGCAGTTACACCCTAACACCCCCACCCCGAACTGAGACTGCCCCTGAGGAGCGAGGTTCCTTGGAGACAGACTTTAGTAAAAACTAACGAGGTTATCTCACTGCGAAAAGGAGGATGAAGTCACCGGACATCCTGCAGTAGTAACTCCCGCACCTGCTTCAGAAAGATTTACCCAGTGCCATTAGGGGAAAGGGGCAAGGCTGCAGGCGGGTCTGGAGATCACCAGACACTGAACTTTCTGAAACTCATGGAAGGGGGAGCTCAGTCTACGGAAAGAATACTGTGCTCTGTTCCCTGTAAACATCTGCTTAGCCTAGTCTCAAGCTGCTTAGGGGTACAGTGGGGAGAAAAATTGGGCTTGGTCATTGAGGGTATATATTTCAGTTCTCAGGGTCCAGAAGAAGCTGGTGTCCTTCCTTCCTTCCCTCCATTTTGCAAGGTGAATATTGGTCCTGCCTGCAATTCTACAGGAGTCAACAGAAGAGCTTAATCTGGAAGCCCAGAGGCAAAGGACTTTAATGCTCTAAATTACCCAGGGCTTGTTAAAACAGTAGGTGTAGAGCCTTTCTCAGCATCTGCTATTAGGGCCAGGCTTCTACTGATGAGCAGTACTAGATAGCACCGATGTCTGAAAGGGCAGATGCATATATAGCCAGGTAAATAAGGAAACTAAGGCCTTAAACACAGGTCCCATCAGAGAGGCATGAAATAATTTAACTTCCTCTTAGATGCTGCCCTTTCCTTGACTCAAGTTATTAACATGTAAGTCACTGTGAATAAATCTGATTATTTTGCTTTGCTGGCTGTGTGTATCTGTAGGCTTTGTATGATATTCTACCTTAGCAAACTTTTCAAGTTGATTGTAGTAATATGTCAAAAATGGATCAGGAGTAGATTGGGAGTGCATTCTGAGGAAATACTTTTTTACTATTACTAACCCTCAGAACTGTCCCATATCTTTCTACCAGACCTCATCTAATCGAGGTCTCAATGTTGATTTAAAGGTGATGCTGTGTAATGGCTGACAATATTGGGTATTAACATGAGTTGAATTTCTCATGTGGATGGAGTCCCTTAGCACTGCTTCCAGTGTTCAGACAGATCAGTGTCTGCATATCCAGCAGAGATGTCCAGAGACTGCACATAGCATTGGAATTGCTTTCCATCAGAGATAAGCTATTCAGGAGAGTTATTTACAGTCTTGGATCATCAAAGACTTAGGAGTCAATCATCTGTGCTGTCTGCCCAAAACTTAACTGCTCTGTTAAACTGAGTGCAACATTTCATTGTCTTTCATTTGTCCTAAGTGGATTTTGGTAGCTATTACAGTAAGAGACTTCATCTTTTGCTAAAGCTGCTTTTATTGTGTTTGTGTTCTAAGTTTTCAGAATGGCTTCCTTGGTTGACATGCCCCTGAATTACGAAAAGATGTTTGCTCATCGATTCACATCAGATGACGAAGAATACCAGGAATATCTGAAACGCCCTGCAGATCCCCCTCCTATAGTTGAAGAATGGAGAAACAGATCTGGTGGTAACCAGAGAAACAGAGATCGGTACTGATTTCTTTTTTTTTAAAAATCTTGGTAGCTTCACAAATATATACCTGAATGATCATTTATTTCAGAAGAAAGATAGGAATTTGTTCTGTTAACAGAAGTATCTTCTTGTTACTTCACAGATAACTAAGTTTAAGAGAAATAGTCTTCTCTGAGAAGTAATGAGGTATTACATTTTCTCTGTATTGAGTCAAAACTTTTTGTATTGTTTATAAAAGTATTAATTTGGTTTTTAATAAGGAATGAGCTGGAACCACCAAACCCGTTGCCCTGGGGTTTGGTACTACTCAACCAGGAATATTTTTCCAGAAGGGAAAGATGAGAGTTCTGCAAAATTAAGCAGCCCATCATCTGTTGGATAATAACCAGCAGGAAGATGTGCAAAGGAACAGGCTAATAGTGTGATTATCGGTTGCTAGCTGTCCAGAAAAACTAATTTGTAACCTAAATATTTGCTGTACCTTCTTAGATTAGCCTGTATTTCTTTTATCTAGTAGAAATGACTCTAAAATCCATCATCCAGTCTATCTAGTAAGTGCAGTGTTACCTGTCTACTGCCAAATATTTTGAATTATTTATTCAGGATGTAATTGTAGCTTTTTACTGAATTCTGGAGAGTAATACCTGATTTTTGTGTGACTGAAAAACAATGATTACAGCATGTAGTATGTTTGGTAATACTACTATCAGCTTTTAATATAAAGCAGCTAAACTCCTGTCCAACTAACACTTGGGAAGACTTGCTAGCTAAATATCTAAATAGGATTTGTGCTTTATCTGAAGAAAAGAAGGACAACATTCTAACTTTTTCTTGCCGTAGAAGCTTGTCATTAAGTTAAACACAGAATCAGTTTCCGCAGATTAAAAAAAAGGTGGTTGTTTAAGGAGATGTTCTTACAAAACTGTGGTTTTCTGGACTAATGAACTCTTATGTGTATGCTGGTCACAGAGTGAACCTCGGGTAAATGCTGTTTATCTACATCGTATCCTGAGAATCTAAAGAAAATGACTGAGGCAGCTGAAGCGTTGATAGGAATCAAGTTACAGCTGAAAAGACAAAATTTAGACTGAACAGTGCCTGAATACCGCTGATAAGATACACTCTTTTGCGTATGGGAATCTTTGAGAGACCACAAAGCAGTGGTAGTATGTATTTTAGGGAATATGTGAATTCCAGGGCTCTGTGCTGTTAGGAAGCCAAATTGTCCTTAAGGCTGCTTTGCCACAGCTTCCAGCCATGATGCTGTCAGATTGAACCTGGCTTTCATACAGCTATGGATGTACCTTCCGGTTGGTTTTTAGAAACATGGTGTGTTTGAGTCTCTATTCAAAGTTCCAGCAGTTCAGCTAAGGCCTGTGAATGCTTTGTGTAAGGAAACGGACTGTCCTTCCATCGCTTAGCAAATAGTGTGTTGGGTAGTAGTGAGAAATTAATGAATGATCTCAGGTGACTGTAGATATGTTTTCACCAGTTGGTCATAGAAACAGGTAAGTAATTGCGTGTATAAACAGTTACCTGATAGTTTTCATGAAAATGTATATTTTAAGAGTTCATTATCACGCATGTTTTTAAAGTCACAATTTGTGTGAATCTTTGACATTTTTTTTCATTGCAGGTTTCAAGATGGTAGATATTTTAGAGGGGACAGATACAACTGGCAAGGTGACTATAGATCTAATCAGAGGCCAGAAAGAAGTTGGGGTAATAACTACCAGCAGCACAGACAAGGACAATCTTACTCCTCCCACTACGGACAATACAGCTACAACTCCTACAACCTGGGGCCTCGTTACCACCCCTACTGATGATGCTTGTGGTCTGACAGTCCAGTAATGCTATGTAACAAATTCAGTTAGGCTTCAGTTTCTTTGTTTTTCCGCAGTTTTACAGATAACTGAAGAATCAGCATTACAGCTCATTGTTTATCTGTAGTATGAACCAAAAAAGGGAATACCTTTTATGAATAATAAAAGCATATTATAGGGTGTTTGTTTAGGGTCAGTAGATCTTAGATTAAATTTGAATCTCATTCATTTGTCTGAATACATACTAGCACACTTTTCTTTCATCACTGCGATTTCTCTCTGTTCCATTTAAGAAGGGATAACAGGTCAGAGAAAAACAGCTGTGGTTTGTGTGCAGCCTGTAGCAGTGGCACGTTGCCTTAAGATAGTTCTTTTTGAAAGTGTCATGCTGTGTCTCTCTGGAGAGAGTTTCTTACTTTGGCTTTTGATAGTGAGAAAAGATCAGTTTGGTTTGTATTTCTGATGCCTTAAAACTGCAAAGAGAGATGCTATTACAGAAATATTTTATGGGGTCGGCCTAATGTCAGTTGACTTAATGGCTTCAATTTACATTACAACAGCATTCATTTACAACAGCATTCCTGTTAAAACATGGTCTAAAAGTTGGAATAAAAATGAAGTAGTTTAAAAATGTATCTTGTAGTGGTTTAGTGATACAAGTTTTACCTGAGAAGTGATATCAGACACAGAATAATTTGTATCATCCTAAAATCTATTTAGTACGTGCATAACAGATTTTTGGAGTTCCCATTTCAGTAAAGCTGTAAAATTTTGATGATAGTTGTAATTAGTTTGTATTAAATACTCTGTGTGTGTTGTAGAAGAAAGGAACCCGAATCACTACTGTTCTGTTTGGTTTTTTTTTGCATGAGAAAATAGTGTAAGCAGCGCGGAGTGTTACTCAGTTCTTAGAATTTAAGTTCTGTGGGGTTTTTTTAAGTATTCACACAATAAAATTATAGTTCACGTGTAAGGATGTTTCTGAATATTTCTGAATCCTACTTTTGAGACATTCAGACTCTTACCAGTGTCATCAAGGCTGAGAGCCGCCCAGGCAGCAGCACTGCTGGGTAAGTGGTTATACCGGACAGCTGTTGGCTTAAGTTTGAAGAATGGCCTGCTCTGCTACAACAAGAGGATGAGGCACATTGTGATTAAGCAGAAGTCTGGAGTGTTAATCCGCTACCTTACACTCTACTATAATAGGGTCAGAGTTCTCTATTTCACCATTTACGTGCTGAGCTAATTTGTATCAGGAGGGCAGTGCGTTTCCGTGCGCTTGGCATTTCCTTCAGCTGTTGTGCAGAACCGTCTGTGCTGGCTGTTGTAAAAGTCATGACATTATGGGATAAAGAGAGCAAATTAGTGCATCTTGATTTAAAAAACAAAGAATAAATATAGAAGTCAAAAGCACAGTCTCAGCTCATAAGATGGTTTTAAGAGCTAAAGAGTATGTTTACTGTTGGTGTTAGGAACGCACTGCATGGAGCTTTTACACAGTCTGTGATACAAAAGCCATGACACAAGCACCTCCACCTACTTAAGTATGTCTGTCTTCTGTTTTTCATATAATACTGTTGACTCACACAGTTTTTGATATCCTATTCCCTGAAGTATTTGCCTTGAATTCAGTTGTTTGACCTTAGAAATCTTCTAGCGAGGGGTTTGTTTTCCCTTAAGGAGTTGCACTGGATGAAACGCAGCCTTTGTAACCCTCCAACATACAAGATTGTGCAAAGTTCTTACCAGTGCACTGCGGAGAGCCTGCAAGTTGGTGTGGTGGAATTCCCTCTTGATGCAGAATGACATGCCAAGTGCCAGATATCCCAGCCTCCCGCCTCCAAGAAGGGAGTGTGTCGCTTTCTGCAAAGAGCCTGACACTGCCAGCTATGCCACGGAAGTCAGGCAGTGTCAGGATGTTCTTCTTCCTTACCATCTGGAGTAGCACCTCAGGTTGAAATAAAACCTGGCAAAAGGAACAGATTCTGCCTCATCTGTTGCTTTTCTTCAAACCCGATAACTTTTATTTTTAGTGTCTTTCAGCTAGTGAATAAAAGAATGTACAACATTGTGATCGAACTGTAGAAGCAGGCTAGATTAGGATGGCTTAAGGGGAAGTTATGACTTAAAATTACACATTTCATGATCTCATCTCTCTTTTTTTAATGAGTTTCTCAACTGTGAGACCAGGAGAGACACAGGCCAGTGTAGCTTCCTGGTGTCTGTCTTTACATCCTTGACTCCATCTGCCTCACCCTTTGAGCTCTCAATCCAACTTTAAAGACCTGTATGATTTACAGAACTTTTCCTTGGAACAATTATGGCAAGAATCTAATTTTTGGGGGGAATACATTTCTAAATAAAAGCATGCCTTGCACTGGACAGAAATAGAGAAATAGAATTCAAAATATGTTACTTGCAGCAGTTTCCACTTAAATGAATTAGTATTTATGATAATGTCCAGTTTACTGTTTGTGTCAAGCTAAATAAAACCAGTAAGTATTGCCTGCAATTACCGTTTGTGCATTGCAGGGTGTTACAGATGACAAAACTGAAGCTCAGTAACATCAACATTTGCAACTTCAAACACTAGAGAAATTGTTTGCTTTTACTATGCTGGAGATTGCAGGGTAAACATTGAAATTCAGCGTCTGGAATCTGACTTTAAGACTTCTCTTCCATCTGACATTTGCTCAGACATCATTATTATCATGAATAAAACAACAGAAAGGTAAGTAAGTCTTACGTATTAAAAAATGGCTGTCATGTCACCAAGAGTTTGAACACTCCAGATCTGGAAACAGCTCTTGCCCAGGTTCTAAACCCATTCCTGAACACAGACAGCAATTTTCTATGGAGATACTGAAGAATTATCATGCCAAATTACAGATGCTGTGGCAAGCAACAAAGAAAACTCAGTAGTTTTTATACAATTTCTTAACTAGTGTTTTAAAAAACCTTTTGAATCACAGCTAAGCCACTAGATACTTGAAGACAAAAGAAAGCGCATGGTCAAAAATAATCTTAGAGTGATTTGTGAGGTACAATTTTACAACTGCTCACTACTATTCAACCTCTACTTTATCCTCGCTCTGCAGCTGGGGATAGAAATGTGCAGACGTGCTTTGAAGGGTTGGTTAGAAGCCGAACTACTTTCAAGAGGCTCTTTAGTAGAGATTTTCAGACAGGGAAGACAAGTGTCATTTCTGATATAATCAACATCCAACTTCGGGAACAAAAGAGCTATTTAATTACTGTTTAAATATATTTAAAATATTTTGCAACGGTTATATATTTGAGTATATTTAAACTTGCACTATTAATTCACTAATAAATACTCTGCTTAACCAAGAAACGTGTTCACATTTGTTTCTTGTACTTCTTAGACTGAGATGTTGAAAGAAAAATTATTTTTCTATCAAATTTAAGCTAATGTTTTGCCTGCCACCACCCCTGTTCCTTGGGGGGGAGGGTGGGGAAGTAAATCTCTGAATGACACAGCTCCAGTCACACCTTCTCTAACTGTGACACACAAGAGGATGTAGGAACAAGAGACAAGGAGGCAGGGAAAACAGGACTGCTCCTCAGAGCAGCTACTGACCGCCTCAGGAGCAATTTAACGAAACTGCACCTCCTTTGCCTTTCATTTGCCAGTCAGGAAAAATTACTATAATCTGTCCCCTTGTCCCTGCATCTTAGAAGAGAGCTGTATTACCCTGCTTAAATTACGTACAGTACTGATACCCTAATGACCAGAAGCTAAGCAAGATTACAGGGCAGACCAGGTTTCCCTGAAACTACCTCGGAAACAGGCAGCCTGATTCGAGACACACGGAGGTAAATCCTAGAGATCAAAACAGCGCCCAGTGGCTCCAGCACTGCCAGGAGAGTAGTTGGCAACTGTACTTATGGTGGTGCACAACGATCTTGCCTCTCAAGAGGATTATTTTTCTATTAGGCCCCACAGGCTGGAATTAATTCTTGCATTTACCGTGGCCTATATTTCTCTTGAGTAAAGCACAGATTGCATTTAGTGGTTGTCTGTCCTCATTTGCTTATATAAAACAGTGATGCCACCCTTCTATACAGGTCACCCCAAGTACTCTGTCCTGTTAAAATGCAAATTTTAACAAGAAATGGTGAAAGTTGGTAATAACTACATTTTGCTCTAAGTAATAACACACAACGGGATCATCATCCCCAATAATTACCTTTTGTGTTATTCATGACTAGCAGGAATACAAAGGAATGTTTTTCCTAACACAGAAATGCTTTCTTTTCAAATAATACTGCAGCAGCTGGATGACTTTTTTTCCACAAGTATGGGCTGTCTTCTTTTTTCTTTTTTTTTTTTTATATTGTGTAAATCAAACTTTGCTTCACTAATAAAAGATGTATCATTAACAAGTATCACAGTTACTCCTGCTCACTGTTAAAGAAAAAAAACTTTATCTATCCAAAAGATGAGTTAAAGTTTAGAAAACAACTTAGTTATTTGTAATAGAACTACAAAAATAAACCAAGGCTCAACCTCATCCATGAGAAAAAAAAAAAACAACTTCAAGGATTCAAGCAGAATCTTCAAACTGAAACATGTTAAATGTTAAAAGAATGATTAAGACACTTTTTCAAAGCTCTTGTTCAGTACGAGGAAAGACAATTTGGTATTTATATACCCACATAAATTAAATGCTTAAGATTATAGTGTGTACTGTTGAGATAAAGGTTAAAAACCCCAAACATACTGTAAGAAGTTTCACATAGATTTTGGCCACCATGTTCCAGGTTTAGCATGATCAGAGCTGATCGGAAAGTGGATGCTCTTTGTCCAAAGTCATGTCTGCAGTTTGTTTTGGAAGAAATGCTTGAAATGATACATTTTCTACTGAAAATGTGCTCAAGAAAGAGAAAGTAACAGTAATAATTGCCAAGTGCAACCATCCCCAAATGATTACATGTTCTCTTACAAAATAAAATTATTTTTTCCATAGCGAAGGCCTGTTTTTTAAGTCTTACCATTTCTGGAGTCATCAAGTCATCTTGATTTATGAATGCCACTGAGACCTAAAACAAAGTACGTTTAAGAATACTGCTTCAGTGGTTTTAATGGCTTAAAGCATTTAAATACAGCATACAAAAGCTCTGGAGTTTAGATTAGTTTGGTGCAAGAGCTTTGTGTGGACACATGTTCTTCTCATATCAAGCTCCCATTACTCATAAGCCACATGCTTGAAATGAAGTGAGCTGATGGAGCATCAAGCTTGGGGTACACATACCCTCCGCTAAGCCCCAGCTACAGCTAAACAGCTGTAAGAACATAAAGGAGCTTTACTTTAGATTGCTAATATGGGCAAATCCTATTTCTCCGACCCTGCGGGTCAGAGGATACTTCCATCAGCAGAATGACGTTTTTTGTTGTTCTAAGAGTGGGAGGATACGTTGTACAGCCCAGGCAGTGATGGGAAGGAGCACAGCTCAGCTAAAGGAACAATTGTTCCATGGCCATTTCCTCATGTATCCTGAACCCTGCAGGGGAAAATAAGTTTTGAGATTTGATTATTGGTTATCAAGTGACTTTACCACCACGCCACTGGCAGGGGTGGGGTGAGGGTGGGTGTGTGAGTAAGATAAATTCCTTCCTCCTCCACAGACACCAGGGACCTCCCGAGCACAAAACAAGCCGGCAGAACATGGACCCAGGAATCTGGAAGCAGTTAAGCAGCTGGCTCATTATACTGGCAGAGTTTAAGTCCTTAAGTAAGATGGAGAGATCCAAGGGGCGATAAACAAATAGCTATTGATTGCATATCCTGCAGTCTGGGTAAAGCCAATTCAAGAACCTCTTTAGACCTCACCAGCAGGATTTTAGTTTTTAGAGACAACATGGATTTAGTGCTAAGTAATAAAAGATCAGCCTAGTCTTACTTCCCTCTATATCTGCATTAGACATATTGTTCCTACTGGCCTAAAAATATTTTTTTACATTTGATACTGCTGCTACTCTCTCCTTCCTATCACTACCCAGGCACTGGGCTATTTATTTCAGATACATCTGTTTTACTACTGCCTCATATTCTTGAATGCTTCTGAAGACAAGACCTTTTAAAACGTCTTTAAAATTCTAAAAAGACAACTTTGCCACGGTGCCAGTCATTCTACCTGAACTAAAAAGAAAGTGAAAAAGATGTTTTCAAAGATAGAACCAGACACGTGTGTTAATACCAGGCTCAGCTACAGACCCCTTTCAATGCTTTTGTGTCTCAGCTTCCATCTGCCCTGTTCCCCTCTTCTGTGCTCTGTATTTCAGCTACAAATCCTCCCAAGCAGGGGCTACTCCGTTTAAAACAGAGGTATGGTGTATAACAAACTCAGCTGGGGTCCATATATCCTAACACAACGCATTAGAAACATTCTGGTGAGCAAATTGATATGTTCGCTGACTTTTAAATATTTTTTTTAAACTAAAACCAAACACATTACAGATACTATGAAGGCAGTGACTTGATTTAACCCCTGCCTTTATGTCACTCCATAGTTATATAGGATAGGATTTAGAGGCTGGGATTCTGTGGCCTAGCAAGCTCTCAGAGCTAGACCTGCACTAAACAGTAAGTGAATCTAATCCTATGGGTGTAGTAGAAAAGCCCTTCAAAAATGTAAGTGGCATAAAGACAGCCTCATCATAGCTAAGAGATATGGGTAGTCCAATTTGATGGTTAACAT